GCCGCCAAATGTGTAATCACCAAGGCGTGGAAGAAACCACCAGTATCTTTTCACATGGTGAAAAATAACCTGACAACCCTGATGTTGCATGAAAAGATGACTAGCATCCTACACGATTCTCATGCAAATGTTTTAAAAGTATGGAGTCCCTGGTGGACCTATACGTTTCCTACCCTATCCCCATTTGGTTTGGGTATTTTGGTTTGTGTATTTCCCCTCCCCTTGCTATTCGTCTTCCGGTCCCCTTCTTTCTGCCTCTTTCTTCTTTTCTTCTTCTGTCTTTCTCTCTCTATCCTGCTTTACTTTTAACATTAACTTTAAACATTATTTCTGTAGTTTTTCATATTTATCTTTTGAGTCCTCAGGACTAGATCCTGGGTCATTAAAGCTGTCCTGCGGCTTAGGTCGTATGACTGCACTGTAAATAATTTTATTGTAAAATAAGTTGATATAGCCATCGCCCAATTTGTTATCTGTTTTCTTTTTGCTTTATACCCCAGTTGTATTCCAATGTTATATGTTTTAATAATAATATTGAACCAGATATTTTTAATTTCTTTAACATATTTGAACAGGCAAACATAACGCCTTAATGTAAACAGTGCCTACAGATAAAGTTTTATATACTTTGATCAAATGACAGAAAAAATTATGGTACATTCAATGTAAAAATCTAAAAAGTAAATACACCCCAGCAATTACCACCTATTCAAATCTTTAGGTGCTCCATATTAGTTGCAAATGATTTGAACCTCCTCAATAAGTATGTGGGTGGAAATTGTAAACCTCAGATATTTTTTATGGTCTTGTGTTCTCTTTGCAAATGGCCTGTGTAGTGTCATCATGACAAAATCAAAACAGCTCTCTAAAGCCATCAGAAATAAGGTTGTGAAGGCCAATGAGCCTGGCAATAGTTTTAAAAAGATTGCCTTTTTTTTTTAACAATCATTGCATTGTAAGGAAAATAAAATGCATGTCTATAGTATTCAAATCATTGCAAATTTGTCCAGCAATTACAGGTCCAGATAATGTTCAACCCAAGAGGCTGACCATTTGAAAACGAAAATGCTAAAAGAAATTCCTTAAAACATCAAATGATTTCATTGTGCGATCCCTAGGTAATTTTGGTGAAATACTTGGTGTCAAAGTGCATGCTTCAACAGTCAGAAAGAGATTCGCACATTTCACTTATTAATCCACAATATATTGTGAGCCATAGAGGAAAAAATGATTAAGAAAGCCTACAACTTGTATTTTGGCTGCAAGATAGGAGACCAGGACAAGAGCTGGGCACCACATATATGCTGCAATTCTTGTGGGACGGCACTGGAGCAATGGTTGAATGTCCTTTGATGTCCAATCAATGTGCTGAATGGAAAAAAGAGCAGCCTTTTCACTGTGCATGAATTTGGAGTCAATGTTAGTAAATTTGTTACTTTTGTAAAAAGACAAAAAGAACTTTAGAGCAAGACTACAATTGGCCATTGATAATATAGGTAAAGATCAGGCTTTCTGGAACAAATTTTCTGTGTCTTCTATACCATTTACTATCTGTTGATATTTCTCTTAATACATTATTGAAATGGCATAATTTTTCATGTGTTTTTATTAATTCAAGTGTATCACCTTTCTCTGCAAGCAATGTTTCAAAAGAGATGAAGATTTAATGTTTACTTGTTCAAATATGTTGAAAAATTAAAACATAACAATTTCCAGGTGTGATTCCTCTTCATGATTTTACCTTTCTCTGCATACAAATATAAAAATGTGTGATTCCTCTTCATGATATATATACATATAATATATATATATATATATAGTAACAGTGCAAGGCCCTGTCAAAGGTTGAATATAGATAGGAATGGTCAGGAAAAAGACACAGGCTTTGCCCATTTGCTGAGTGCAGGAATAAGGAGCATAGAGTTTGAGTGGAGAAAACTGCTTTTGCAGTTTTCTCCAGTTTTTGATATTTCTGTATGGGGCTCTATAGCCTTGGGAGGGAAGAACTCTCCAACCCAGTGTCCCAGTTTGTAGACAATGAGCAGGGTGTGTACCCAGGTGCACACAGGCCTTATAATGTTGGGCTGCTGAGAGTTGCAGGAGGTGTGGAGGGCAGTTGGAGAAGTGGCTGCCTTGAGATAATCTCTGCCTGGAGATAGGCACTTTGTGCATTAAAGGGCTTGACGTTGTGTGTGTGTGTGTTTCAAGAAGCACAAGGCTGTGTGCCAGTAATAGCCAGTGGTCTGGGAGACAAAACAAGCAGAGATACTGCTGACTAGAGAGAGCCAGGTGGCTCTGTATTTTTCATTTGTATTTTGGAGAACCCATGTGTGGGAAAGCTTATGCTGGACTTTTGTTTTGTGCCTTTTTTAATAAACATGGACTACCAGACCCTTTAATATAGTTCTTGACTGACATGAACTTGAAAACATATCTACCACTAGAGCTAATGATCCCCCATATCACAAGATATATACATTTTGTATATATGCAAGGGTGAATCAAAAATTATCTGCACTCCAGTTCTAATAAAATTTCTATTGGTCACACTGTCTTATCAGCGCTTTCCATTCAAGGCTGCTTACTTTCTCTCCAGTCACTGCTGTGCAGGCTTGAAAGTGTTGCGTCAGTTCATTTGTAAGTGCAGTGTGAGCAAAAATGGATGATCCACTTCTGATTTGCACGAAAGAAGAGCAGCATGCAGTGATTGATTGTCTGGGGGTGTACCTGGTGCCATTATTTATTGAAGATTTTTTGCACAGTATGGAGAAAGTGTTTTGTCCTGAAGAAGTGTGTATGAATGGATAGAGAATTTCAAGGAAGGCTACACAAGTGTTAGCCATCAAGAAGCAGCTGGATGCCCGTCCACATCCACAGCTGAGGACAGCATCCTCCCTATAGTCCTGATTTTGTTCCATCAGACTTTCACCTGTTTAGTCTCCTGAAAGCAGCCCCAAGAAAGAAGATTCACTTCTGAGGAAGTGAAGACAGCAGTGCATTTGTAGCTTTCAGCTCAGCCTAAAACATTTTGGACAGATGGACAAAGTGTATTGAAAAGCAAGAAGATTATGTCAAAACATTATGTATTTGTCTTTTCTAAAAATTAAAATTAATTCTACAGCCAGAGTGCTGATAATATTTGACTCACCCTCATACATTCAGATGATTTTAGATTTGAAAGAAATTTCAGTAGTTTGAATGATCCAAGCCAAATCCATATTTCAGTGATTCTTTTTTGTACGATTCCCAAGAGGTCTCTAGGAGAAGGTGACCACAGGCTTATATCTAATTCTGCTGTTTTCTGACACCCATAGGTTGACTATTAATGCCACCGGGTCAATTATTTAGGCTGGTTTAGTTTTTATTTTCATTTATTATACACGTATAAATAGCATAAATGTATATATTGTAGACAAATAGCACATACAGTAAATATTCAAATAGAAGAGTGTGTCAACCTTCCTTATACCTGCACATACCTACAGTAAACCTTCCTGTCATGGCTGGCTTGGGCAATGCTGGGCTGATATGACTGATACATCCCTATTGACTTTTCACAATGATAGACAAGCTCACAGGCCAGAAGGTGTATGCAAGAAGCAGGAAAGCTTCAGCAATATAAGTAACGGCCAAAGCCTGGCCTGTTATAATGTCCTGAGATTTGGCTGTGATAAAATGGTTTGGGTGGGTACTGAAGTTACCTGCTGACACTTTAGATATTTACTCTTCATACCTGCAGCAGTTTGCACACCTTTCCTCCATTGACTATGGGGTGGCTAAAGAACAAATCAGGAGGCACATTTTGCTTTGAGTCTATGTTTGCGTGATTGCTTCTAATTTACTAAAGCCTATGCATTTACACTGGTGCATCAATTGTTTGAGGATAAGCCAATTATATCTGCTAGGTCAACTACCATGTGTATGCAATAAACACCAGTGTTATTTATTAAGGGTTATGACCCTACCTGATTTGATGCGGGACTTGGAAGTAGACATCTCTGTCTCATCACAGCTGCTTTCTCTGAAGGTGGACTTTACAATGTAAGAAAGAGGAAGTTGGTATTCTGCCAGAGGTTTGGACTAACTGAAACCTACCCCAGGTTACCTAACAGGATGTAGAGGTGGATGGTGCCTGGAGAACCAAAGAAGCTGACTGCGTAAAATTAGGGCTAATTAGTACTTGTAGCAGGACTGGTAGCAGAGCTGTACTTTAGCAGACTGGGCTGAAGCATATTGGAATGGACAGTACCGTAGCAGATTGGACAGTTGTGGACTGGAAAGCAGCAAATTGGACTGTAGAAGTCTGGACTGTGACAGGCTGGACTGTTTCAGACTAGACTGTAACTGAGTGGACACTAATGAACTGGACTATAACAAAGACAGTACTAGTAGGTAGCAGACAGTAGCTGGGCTGACTGTAGCACGACTGATTGTTGCAGAATTACTAGCAACAGACAGACTGGCAAGGAATTGAGTGATAGACGACTGAATGATCACAACAGAGAAGAACTCAGGTAGCAAGGAGACACTGCCAAGACTCAGTGATCATGTGACAATAGCATGCTAAAGCTAAAACAGATTTTCTGCCCTCATGACACATCATATGATTTATCACATACTGTAACTCAGCCAGAATACCCTAGGCCAGTGATGGCGAACCTTTTTGAGCCCGAGTGCCCAAAACTGCAACACAAAACCAACTTTTTTATTTCAAAGTGCCAACACTGCAATTAACCACTTGCCTACCGGGCACTTCTACCCCCTTCCTGTCCAGACCAATTTTCAGCTTTCAGTGCTGTTTGCACTTGACAATGACAATTGTGCGGTCATGCAACACTCATTTTTTCACACAAATAGAGTTTTTTTTGGTGGTATTTAATCACCACTGGTGTTTTATTTTTTGCACTATAAATGAAAAAAGAGCAAAAAATTAAAAACATAAAAGGTTTTCTTTGCTTCTATTATAAAATTTTGCAAACAGGTAATATTTTTTCTTTGATGTGCGTTGGTGAGGCTGCACTAATAGGCAGCACTGATGGGCATTGATGAGGCGGCACAGATAGGTAGCACTGATGAGGCGGCACTGGTGGGCATTGATGAGGAGGCACTGATGATGCACTGATATGCAGCAATGATGGGCACTGATAAGCGGCACTGACTGATAGCACCAACTGGAGGCACTGACAGATGGCACTGATCAGCGGCACTGCTGGGCATCATTGATGGGTGGCACTGATGGGCAGCACTGATGGGCGAAACACTGCTGGGCACTGACAGGTGGCACTGCTGGGCAGCACTGACAGGCGGCACTGCTGGGCACTGATGGGTGACACTGCTGGGCACTGATGGGTGACACTGCAAGCAGTTAATCTCACCTCTGGCAGTGTTGGTGTGGCTTCCAACCCAGCAGCTCATTCCCATCCACGCTGAACACATCGCCCCTGGCCCCGGAGCAGTGTGGGAGCCTCTTCCTTTCTTCCACGCCCATCCACGGCTACATCACCCCTGGTGCCAGATCCGCATAGGAGCCGTTTCCTCTCGTCCACACTCACCCTGGCCCCAGAGACATGTGGGAGATGTAGTTTGATGGGGGTCCAGTGTGGACGAGATCTGGATGGCCGGTCAGTGTGCGTGGTCCGTGTGCGCTCATCTTCCTCTTCTTCCTGGCGTGCCCACTGAGATGGCTCTGTGTGCCAGCTCTGGCACGTGTGCCATAGGTTCGCCATCACTGCCCTAGGCAATACCAAGAAGTGTCCATGGCTGCAGTAGACAGAGGAGGCAGTGCTGCTAGAACTGGGAAGGTAACTGACTGTGATGATCGGTAAGTGATTTCCTAGACAGGTTCAAGGATTGCATGCACTATATACTGTATATCAGTACTTTAAGTCCTGTAAACAATGGGTAAGTTTAAAAGGGGTCAGTGTGTGAAAAGGAAACAAATGCTCTATTCCACTATGGTTAAAACATTTTAAAAACCTACAAAGCTCTTTAAAAAATTTGAGTAAAGCTGAGTTTGCTAGTAAAGCTGTAAAATGACACAGACTTGGGAAACATCCCCACTATTAGGGCTCGTTCACACTAGGCTGTTTTGCCAACGCTTGCCAAACGCCCCTATAGCTTTTGGCAAGCGTTGGTCCGGCGTTTGCGGAGCGTTATTAACGCTCGGCAAACGCTCCGCAAACGCCGCATGCGCGGTTTAGCGGCGGTTGCTAGGCGTTTGCCGAGCGTTAATAACGCCCCACAAACGCCTATAATGCAGTTTGAGTGGTGTGTTACCGCTCCGCAAACGCCCCGCAACCGCGTCGCAAAACCGCACCGCAAACGCCGGCCGGGCGTTTGCGGAGCGGCACCATAGACGAGAATAGGAGGCTTCAAAGCCTCCTGACTCGTCCAGAGGCGTCCGTTTTGCCGCGACGCGACGCAAACGCTCCCCTTAGAACAGCACCATGTGCTGTAATGTGCAGAATTGGCAGAGGCGTTTGGGAAGCTTCCCAAACGCCTCTCTGCCGCCTGCACACAAGGCTAGTGTGAACGTAGCCTTAGACAATCCCTGTGTCAGTAATTTGTAACTATTCTGGATTTTTTTAAAAATGGTCACTGTGCTATTATCAGAGACTTTTTACATGCTAGGCTAAAGATAAAGCCAGCTGAAAAAGAGTTTTGGTTGGGTAAGACTACAGCATTAATAAAAAAAAATAATATACACTGGTGAATATTTTGTAATACCTGGTTTTATTACAATCTTACATTAAGAAATGATTTTGCATTTAGCAATACATTGCGCAAATACACCTAAATACTTCAGCCGCTTGAAGAAATCAACTGATAGTATTGCATGCTCACTTTTTTGAGATACTTCATCACGAATACAGCTTTTATAAGAAAAAGTAAATGTAATTGCTTCTCACAAGCTCAGTCTGGTCTCAGAAGTGTGATATGTTCAAAAATCAGGCACCTTTCAATAGACTAAATAATTACCTGATTACCTGGCTTGCTATATGACAAGACCCTGCAAAATCACTTATACACTTAAACAACATGAAAACAGTGTGAAAATGGGAACAGACAAGCTGACTTTCAAACTTCATGCTTACTCTAGAGCTTATGGCTTTAAGAACTAACCTGGTAAGCTGTCAAAAGAAACACCTAGTAATGAAACTCTCTTACATTGTAGCACTGATGTTGTAAATGCTATTCGATAGATTCAGTAATGAAATAACAGGCACTGAATATATTTTTTTTTCGCAAGTGTACTTCTTGGTACAAAAATGAGTATATCATCACTTCTGGTGCTTACTCATGGTTACACATCCGAGATACATGGATAGAAATGAAGCCTATTATATTTTCAGTAAGTGTTATTTCCATTAATGTGTGTCAATAGTCTAGCACAATATATGGCACACAGTAATGTACAAACCAAACCAGTTCATAGACAAAGGTATTATGCAGATATGGTTTACTAGGTCTTGTATATTGCTTTTTACACAGTCATTATACAGTATATAAGCTTCATTGTCTTTCCTTCCCAAAAATGCTTACATTATAAACGGTATCATGGAAAGCAAGCAAAGGAGCAAAACAAAAATGGAGTTTTTCTTTATTGCATGTACCCACCTTTAGTAAACTGCAGGACCCTGATACACATAAAATATTCATGTTCGTAGGTCATTACTCTGCAATTTGGCGCATTTTGTACATTCTAAAGTTTATTCTGGCTAATGGGTGCTTTAAAGCCTCTATGAATGAATGGTAATGCATAAAAACCCATTTTGTCATGCATTTGAATGCATCCACAACATGGAAATGACAAAGCAGTTTTTACAAAAGAAAATTAAAATATCTAAAAACAATGAAAATGTTGCAACATGTGCTGCAAAAAAAATGGCACAGAAAAAATAGTGTCTCAAATGCAGAACTGTTTGAACTAGATGGATCTGTCTCTTTTTTCAACCTGACTATGTTATTATATAATTATGACTAGACCAAGAGTCTCGTTGGTCAAGTTTTCAGTGGGAATGCAATCACGAGGGAATGGCAAGTGATGCTGTTTTTAATAAGATAAAGCTGTAGTTATGAAAAGCTCTAAACCAGTGTTTCCCTGTCTTTTTATTAAAGCCCACAACTCTAGGAAATGTTTGATTAATATTTGAGGATTCAAATTGAACCTCATTTAATGCTGCAGGAGAACAAATTGAACTTAAAAAAATAAGCTTTTAAATACAAATATTAATTAGGCAATTGGATTCTTATTCATTCAGAAAATTCATAAACATACAATTCATGTAAACATAAAATCCAATACCTGCTTTGCTCCTGCTTCTCATTTATGAGTTTGTTTAACTTTATTGCTGACTGTGATACTTAGGTCTGCCTCTGGATTCAAGTGATTCCTAGATTTTTGTCTTAAAGTGATTGTAAACGTTAATATTTTATATTGTTTAAAAATAAAAAAAAAACATGTTATACTTACCTGCTCTGTGCAATAGTTTTGCACAGAGCAGCCCCAATCTTCCTCTTCTTGGATACTCCATTGGAACTCCTGGTTCCTCCTCTTCTTGGTGTACCACTATAGGAAGCCACTTCCTATGGTGGCAGCCCTGCGAATTCACTCCCGAGCCAGTTCTGTGTGTAAGACACACAGTGCAGCTCGGTCCCAACCGCCCCCCCCCCCCCGGCCTCCCTTTCACTGGCTGTGATTGACTACATCAGGAGCCAATGGCTCCCACTGCTGTGTCTGATCCAATGAAGGTAGAGAGCAGAGAAGAACAATGCTCTCATGCACATTGCTGGATCACGGTTGGGCTCATGTAAGTATAAGGGGAGCTGGGGGGGGGGAATCTGCACGCAGAAGTTTTTTTTTTCACCTTCATGCATAGAATGCATGGAGGTAAAAAAAAACTTCTGCCACCAAGTGACAAAGGAGAACTGAATCCAGATTTAAGTATGTTGTTGCAAATGGAATGAGCAGTGCATTTCCACCAACTCTTAGGAAAATATCCTGAAACAATATACAACAATTATGTCAGATGTTGAGTTATAATTATTTTAAAAGCAATACTCTCAAAATCAGTTCCTGAATTTATTTATATATTAATTCAGTTATACTCCATTTGATTAACTACTTGCCGACTGCCAGCAATACATTTACCATTGATGGGCAGCTCCCCCAGGCATTGTGATGTAGCCATATGTCATGGTGCTCATATGCACTGCGCACCTCCCCCGAGGCATGCAGCGGCACGCGCTGCATCAGCTGTGTTCACTTCTCTGTATTGGGCCTCTCTGTATTGGGCCTCATGATCACTGTGTGATCACCTTACATAGTAAACAATAGTCATTTATAGAATCCATTCATGACATTATTGTTTACTGCTGTGTGTGATCTGTATTTGGTCATCAGTGATCACATTGTACCTGGGCCAATTACAGCACCCTCTACCATGTGATAGCTGTGGGCAAATCACAGAATCATAATAGTAAACAACGAGTCATGAATGAAAGCCATTCATGACAGTTCAAACAATTACTGTTACAGTGATCATCACCAATGACAGTGTGGATAAAAAAAATCCCTGGTCACCACCCCCAGAGTACTATAGTGTCACAGTGGTGACACTAAACTACTCTGTTGACAGTATGTTAAAACAATTGTAAAGAAAAATTTTTAAAATTGTGAAAAAAAAAACTGATGTTAAAAAGTTGAATAAAAAATATTTACTTTTTTTTTTTTTTTTATATGCTGTCACCAGTCAGTATCCCTGATCACCACCATACCAGTCATATGCTGATACTGTACTGCACTGGTGACAGTATGTGCAAAAAATGTGAAAAAAAATTTATTTCATTTCTCCATTTAAAAAAAAAAATTGTGACAAAAAATTACAACAAAAACTCACTTAGTAAATATCTTTTATTTATTACAGGTACTTACATGGCGCTGTCAATTTACGCAGCGCTTTACATATATATTGTACATTCACATCAACCCCTAACCCTCAAGGGGTGTACAATCTAAAGCCCCTAACTCACATTCATACATACACATACTAGGGCCAATTTAGACAGGAGCCAATTAACCTACCAGAATGTCTTTTAAGTGTAGGAGGAAACCGGAGGAGTACCCGGAGGAAATGCAAACTCCAGGCAGGTGGTGCTATGGTTGGGATTTGAACCGATGACCTGAGTAATGCCAGGTGGAAGTGCTAACCATTTAGCCACTGTGCTGCCCCATCTTGGACAGTATATTTTCCAAAAAGGGGTCATTTTTGGGTCCTGGCATTTTACGGTCTCAAAAAATAAGATAGGCAGTCAGTACATCAGGAATGATCAGTTTTTAAATATATATATAC